CGGGCGTGGCGGCTCACACCTGTAATCCCAGCACTTTGGGAGGCCGAGGTGGGCGGATCATGAGGTCAAGAGATCGAGACCATCCTGGCCAACATGGTGAAACCCTGTCTCTGCTAAAAATACGAAAATTAGCCGGGCGTGTTGGCATGCGCCTGTGGTCCCAGCTACTTGGGAGGTTGAGGCGGAAGAATCACTTGAACCCAGGAGGAAGAGGTTGCAGTGAGCCGAGATTGCACTACTGCACTCCATCTCAAAAAAAAAAAAGGAAACTGCCAAACTAGCTTTGTGTAGTGGCAGTATCATAGCCAATGAGGTTTATCCTTGGCGCAATTATTGCTAATTGAAAACTTTTCCTGATGCCCCGCCATGATGACTTGAAATATAGTTGGCATTGGCAATTTTCGGCAGTCTCTATGGGGACTGAATAAAAAAAAAAAAAGAAACTGCTAAACTTTTCTTCAGAGTGGCTATACCATTTTATATTACCACCAACAAAGTATGAGTGATCCAATTTCTCTACAATCTTACCAACACTGAGTATTGTCAGCTTTTTTTAAATTAGCCATTCTTATATATATGTAGTGTGAAGCAAATTATATATTAAAAAACCCCTGATAATCCAGGTTTCCTAGGAAAACAAATCTACGTTTCCAGAATGAAGAAAGACTCTTTAAGTATGCTCATCATTTATCTGCCACCTTGACTTGGCTTTGCATAACTAAGACTCAGGTGACTTTTACTGAAGTGAATTTTCTCTGAGCCAGATGGGCTGGTGACCCAGGTGACCTAGACTCAGGAGAAACTGATGTTTTGACTGGTATGTTATTTAATTCAATAATCATCTACAAATGTGCAGACAAGAGAGAATCTCCTGTGAGCACGAACTTCTTGGTTTGAAATTCTACCAAAGTTTAGTTTCATTGCATGTAAGGGAAACAGGTTGGAATTGTTACTTTCACTAAGAAAACTAAAAAATGATTCTCAATCTCTCTTCTTGTACATCTGGGTCAGCTCTTAGTTACAGGGTGGAGAATAGGGCAAAAAAAATCAATTTGCTGGCATGATCCATTCTGGAAGGCCTTTCTACCTCTGTCAACACTTGTGTAAAATCCCAATGTTGACAGTTCTTCCTGGCTGAGGCCTAGTTACCCTCAAGCTAAGAAAGGGAGCTTGGTTTGAATAGGGATGGTTTAAATGTCTATTCTTGTGGTATCCTCCCTTCGCAATGCCCCTTATTAATAATCTTTTTTTCTTAAATAAATTGGCATCTTTTTTTCTCTCTGTCCCTGTATGAGAACTTTGTTATTCTTTAAGTATCCACCTTAACTGAGGATGGAAAACTTACTTACAATCAGATTTACTCTCTATTACCCAAGAACAGTGACTAAAAGATGGTAATAGGCTCAACGCATATTTGTTGAATGAATTTCAAATGAAGCATATAGTTCTTATTTCAATGTTTGCTAGGGAGAGGGCTTAGCAGATGTGGAAGGTATGGCCTTTGGAGTTAGACTTGGTCAAAACTGGACCTTTCCACTCATTAGCTTTGCAACCTCTCTGGGATGCAAATTTGACATCGGTACATAGTGCCTATGGTATTTGGGATATAGTAACCAGCACTCAGTATACGTATATAATATAGTGTGGGGATGAAAGGCAACAATGCACTGAAATACTTAGCACAGGGTGGGCACAGTGTATGTACTAAAAAATTTAGCTATGATTATTATTTCCAATGCCTATTAGGCCACTACCGCTCCCACAAAGAAGTGAATGAATATAGCTTCAAATTTTTTTTGTCTCTACCTCAGCACAGAATTTGGCACATAGTAACCAGCACCTAATATATGTGTATTGAATTAATACATATATGAATGCATTGCATTCAGAGTAACTCAGTAGCTCTATGGCTGAAATCAGTGTACCATTCATGGGTTGCAGATGAGTTAGTTCTGTGCACAAAATGGATGCTACTGAATACAGTACATGGAAAAATTCTGGCCCATGGCTACTGAGCAAATCTGAACCACTCAGCAAATGGAACAAGCCAGGCATGAAGGTGAAATTAACTATATTTGATACCACTTCTACTTCTGGAAAAACAACTCTTCTACAGAGGCTGTTTCTTCAAGACATTGGGGTTCAACATCTATATTTAAAGCAGTAATTCATATATATAAAACTGTACACACACACACACACACACACACACACATGCACACACGTATGGGAAATGTATCAATTCAGAAAAGTAATATAATAACATTGCAGTTTAAAAAACAGAACAAAGGGGCTAGGCCCTGTGGCCGATGCCTATAATCCCAGCACTTTGGGAGGCTCAGGCAGGTGGATCACTTGAGGTCAGGGGTTCAAGACCAGCCTGGCCAACATGATGAAACCTTATCTCTACTAAAAATACAAAAAAATTAGCTGGGCATGGTGTTGGGCATCTGTAATCCCAGCTTCTTGGTAGGCTGAGGTGGAAGAATTCCATGAACCTGGGAGGCAGAGGTTGCAGTGAGCCGAGATCGCACCACTGTACTCCAGCTTGGGCAGCAGAGCAAGATTCCGTCTGAAATAAATAAATAAAATTAAATATAAATAAAAATGTAAAGCCATTGTAACCTCACAGGTGTACAAAAGCAGATACCAGCAGGGTTTAGCTTGCTGGCCGCAGTTTGCAAACCCTTTATATAGAGCAGTAAAAGCTGAAGTGCACTTAAAAATCATCTGATAAATCTCTCTCACTAACCTCCTCCTCACAACTTTGCAAATGAAGGAAAAGGCCCAGAGAGGCAATTGGTTTACCCAGAATTACACCTCCGTGGAGTAGAAGTAGCATCCAGAGGTTCTGTCAGCAAGTCAAGAGCTTTCTCCCTTGCAACTGCTGCCTCCTTTCCTCTCTCCTCCTCTCCCTCCTTTCTTTAAGCTTACCCACATTTTCCCCTCACTTCATTCCACAAAGGAGACGTAGTGTTACCCACTAAATGAAAGAAATTTAAAAAGAGAAATGTAAGCATCTTTATTAGGCCTAAAGCTATGCAAGAATTTGATAGTATAATAGAAATAGAACAAGAAATGCCTTTATCACAGTAAATCAATTCTCTACAAGAATTTCAAAGTACTTTTTTTTTTTTTGAGATAGAGTTTTGCTCTTGTCGCCCAGGCTAGACTGCAGTGGTGCCATCTCGGCTCACTGCAATCTCTGCCACCACGCCCGGCTAATTTTTGTATATCTGCGGGGATGTGTTTCACCATGTTGGCCAGGCTGGTCTTGGTAATATGTGCCACTAAGCCTGGCTAATTTTTGTTTGTTTGTTTGTTTTGTTTTGAGACAGAGTTTTGTTCTTGTTGCCTAGTCTGGAGTGCAATGGTGCGATCTCGGCTCACGGCAACCTCCGCTTCTCAGGTTCAAGCAGTTCTCCTACCTCAGCCTCCTGTGTAGCTTGGACTACAGGCATACAGCACTCCGGCTAATGTTTTGTTATTTTTAGTAGAGATGGGGTTTCTCCATGTTGGTAAGGCTGGTCTCGAACTCCCGACCCCCGATTATCCGCCCACCTCGGCCTCTCAAAGTGCTGGGATTACAGGCGTGAGCCACCGCGTCTGGACTCGCTCAGCTATGCCCGGCTAATTTTTGTATCTTTAGTAGAGACTGGGTTTCGCCATGTTGGCGAGGCTGGTCTTTAACTCCGGACCTCAGGTGATCCACCCACCTCGGCCTCCCAAAGTGCTGAGATTACACGCGTGAGCCACCATGCCGGCCAAATTTAAATTTTTATATAATTTTAATATATTATTGTAATACAGCTACAATCATTTCATTTACATATTGTCTACGGTTAATTTCATGCCAAGATATGGTATGTTGAGTAGTCGCCATAGATACCGCAAGGCTCACAAAATAAAAAATATTTAGTATCTAATCCTTTGCAGAAGTTTGGCTATACCTGTTCTACGTATATATAGTATGTCTGTTTATTTGAGGTTAATCCATCTCTTTTATATGAGGTGTGTGCTTATTAGGTATTTTTCAAAATGTTGTTATTGCAATGCATAAACCCATAAACTGTTCATCTTCTTAAGAGGAGAAGCTCTGCTTGGCTTACCATTGAACTCCTAGTGCCTTACTCAGTGCTGGCAATTGCAGGGACTCAGGATATGTTATTGGGTAAAGATTCTAACACCAGTGCCGTATCAGTGATTTCAAAACTCCAGCAGGTATTTCTCACCTACTAGAAAGTAAGTTTACTATTTAGGTAATACCGAATTTTTCTTTAAAATTATTTTTTATCCTTTTTTGCTAATTCAAATTCTCCCTGTCCGCCCCCAAGCACTGAATTTTAGATATGCAATGAAAAGATAATTAAAAACAAACTATTGGAGTAGTTTTTCTTCCCTAAATAAAGCAGCATTTATTAATAATACTAGCAAAATTGAGATGGCCTCAGCCTTTTACATCCGTGCGCCACGTTTTAAAAATGACGATTACTGGATTCCAAGGCATGGTTGCCAGAAACATTCTGCGTAATTAAAGCAGAGCAGCGAAAAATACAAACGTGAATGCCGATCAAAATGAGTGTGTAAAGAAAAAAAGTAAAATTTTGCATTCTGTCGAACGTGAACATATTGCACGTTGTGTTGCAGATTTACTACAGCTGAGTCATTTCGGGACACGAGTGTGTGTTTCCAGGAAAAACGAGAGGAAGGAACCAGGCTGAGGGGCTCGCCGGGTTCCCCCAGGCACTCCCAGCCGCAGGCACCGGTATTCCACGGCGGGCGGTGGCGTGGTCAAAAAAAGGCGCCGCTGCCCCTTTAAGAGGCAAAGCACCTTTCCAAGATACCATCTTGCACCAGGAGTTCACTTAAGCTCTCCACCTACCTTGCTATTTCTCTCCTCCCTGACTGGGTACGGCCCGCCGGCGGGGCGAGTGAGCCTTTTCATTGGTCTTGCCTCAGGGCCCTCTCTCTCTTATTGGTTCTCAGGCCTGCCACTCGACACTGTTTCCCGCCCACCGCGGCCTTCGGGCTAGGTTGAGTGAGGGCTCTTGGGTTAGTTCCTGTTAGGCCCGGGCCGGGGGAGTAGGTTGAAGTATCCTAAGATGCCCGGTGGGCTGGGGCACCGGGAGCTGTGAAGGGAACGTGAGGAGTCGGCGTAGTGGAGACCCACGGCAGGCCTGAAGAAGAGCGGCGGCCGAGCCCGCCTTCCTTGCACCATGCTCATAGAGGATGTGGATGCCCTCAAGTCCTGGCTGGCCAAGTTACTGGAGCCGATGTGAGTGAGTCGGGCTGGGCCGGGGCCGGCGAACGTGGGCGTTGGGGACCCTCGGGGGCGTGGGGGAGGGGAGGCGGCGTGGGGGGCTGCGCTGAGGGGCTGCGGCCGTGAGGTCCCGGCGACGTCCCTGTAGTACTATTACCATTGTGGTGGGGGTGGGGGTGGGGGTGGGGGTGGGAGAGGAGCGCCGGGGACTAAGAGGCGCCGAGGATGTGGGACTGGGGTGGGGGGCAGGCAAGGACAGCGAGGGCTTTTCAAACACAAATATCGGGGTGCTGGAAGGGGCAGCAGGGGCAGGGAGGGAATTTAAAACATTACTGTTTGAGAACTGAGAGAGGGGAAGCAGGGCTCTTGAGGGATTCTTAAAATGTGACTATTGGGATGTCGAAGGGAATAGCTGAATATCAAGGGCTTGATAAACAGTATTATTCCTTGACTGAAAGGTCTAGAAGCAGAGTATCGAGGGCATTTTCGAAATACGAGGGCAGAAACAGATAGCAGGGACATTGAAGCTTCAGAGTGATTATTGGTGAGTGCCAAAGGATCAAGAATATTGAAGCATTTGGAAAATACTATGGACTAGATGAAAAGGATGTGTGGGCATTGAAGGGTTTTAGGTATTAGGGAGGCGATACGTGTGATAGCAAGGATATTAAGGGATTTTAAAGTGTTATTGAAGACTTGATAGTGCTAGGGGAACTGATGATTTTTAGATACATGGAGGTTGGAAAAAAGAGATTTTTGTAAGTTTGGTTGAGGGTTGAAAGGCTATGCAGCATTATTGGTGGAGAAGTGTACCTGCAGCATATAGGGATTTTTAGATACAGGTATTGGTGAATCAAAGGAGCGGTAGAAAGAATAAGAGATTTGTAAATATTCTTTTAAGATTGAGAGGACACCTGAAGGTAATTAGAGTGTAGGATTATTGATGAGGGGCTGAAAAGAGAGACCTACCTGTCTTTTAAAAATATTTTGGATAGGCCGGGCGCGGTGGCTCAAGCCTGTAATCCCAGCACTTTGGGAGGCCGAGGTGGGTGGATCACAAGGTCAAGAGATCGAGACCATCCTGGTCAACATGGTGAAACCCCGTCTCTACTAAAACTACAAAAAATTAGCTGGGCATGGTGGCGCGTGCCTGTAATCCCAGCTACTCAGGAGGCTGAGGCAGGAGAATTGCCTGAACCCAGGAGGCGGAGGTTGCGGTGAGCCGAGATCGCGCCATTGCACTCCAGCCTGGGTAACAAGAGCAAAACTCCGTCTCAAAAAAAAAAAAATATTTTGGATAGTGTTAGTAGAAAGGTTATTGGGAAGCTTGGAAGAGGTAACAGAGGTATCAACATTTTGTTTTGTTTTATAACCTTTTTTTTTTTTTTGGAAACAGTGTCTTGATCGCCCAGGCTGGAGTGCAGTTGCTCTATCTCAGCTCACTGCAACCTCTGCCTCTGGGTTCAGGCGATTCTCCTGGCTCAGCCTCCAGAGTAGCTGGGACTACAGGCGCCAGCCACCACGCCCAGCTAATTTTTTGTATTTTTAGTAGAAATGGGGTTTCGCCATGTTGGCCAGGCTAGTCTCGAACTCCTGACCTCAGGTAATCTGCCCCTGCTTGGCCTCCCAAAGTGCTGAGATTAAGGCATGAGCCCCTGGACCTGGCCATGTTTTATAACCATTTTAAGGGGTAGGGTTGTGAAGTGTTTATCTGGGGAGTGGGGTATAGCTAGCTTCTGGAATAGATCTACAGGGAAGAGAGGAAAGGCTATAGGGTTATAAAGAGAGGTCTTTAGAAAGAGGGCATGGGAGGGGATTGGAAGAGAAACGATCATGTCCCGACTTCTTACTTCTGGTTCTTAATTATCCTCTTATTGGAGGTTAGGGCATGAGAGAAAGGGGTAGAAGAAGAGATGGGCAGGCTTTGATTTCATTAGGTCGGATTGCATTAATGGAAAAATTGAGTGTTTTTCAGAGGGGAAAATAGGGAGTAGTTTGGGAGGTGTGGAGGTATGATAAAGGAGCTCATGGGGACAGTGTCATGCTACTTCCCTGTTGATCTGTTTCAGGGAAAATGACTTCTGAGCACACTTGAAGGTTTTGTAGAAGAATATACGTCTCTTGAATGGTTTTTTTTCCCCCTACAGTAAAAAGTTTTGAAGGCCGGGTGCGGTGGCTCACTTCTGTAATCCCAGCACTTTGGGAGGCTGAGGTGGGCAGATCACGAGGTCAGCAATTCAAGACCAGCCTGGCTGTCTCTATTAAAAATATAAAAAAAATTACCCGGGTATGATGGTGTGTACCTGTGATCCTAGCTACTCAGGAGGCTGAGGCAGGAGAATCACTTGAACCCAGCAGACGGAGGTTGCAGTGAGTGGAGATTGCACCACTGCACTCCAGTGGGAGACTCTCAAAAAAAAAAAATTGGGGAGGCACAAAGATGGAAATGGTTTGTGGTGAAGGTGGGAAATAAGATGGATGTAATGAAATTAACTATATAATATGGGAAAAGGTTGAAAAAAGAAAAAAGTGTGTATGTTTAAAGTGTTCTTATGTTATTTAAGATTAAAAAAGAAAAAAATACAACTTTTTATTTTGTATTCCTGCTGCTTCTGATGCCTTTAAAAAAAAAAAAAAAAAGACTACTTTTAAGTTTAATTTTGTTGGTAGATACCCTTCTAAGAAGTGTTAAACATACATTTTATTTCTTGGATAGAAGATAACAACTTTTAGCTGGGTGTGGTGGCTCACGCCTGTAATCCCAGCACTCTGGGAGGCTGAGGCGGGCGATCACCTGAGGTTGGGAGTTCAAGACCAGTCTGACCAACATGGTGAAACCCTGTCTTTAAAAAAAAAAAAAAAAAAATAGAAGGTAACAACTTTTAGCCTTATAGTTACTTGCTTTCTCTTTTTTTCTTTTTTTAAGCTTCCTAAAATGTTTTACTCTAGTGCTTTTTTTTGTTGTTGTTGTTGAAAATTAGTCTGGGTAGGAGCTTCATCTTGCTTAGGCTTTTTTCTTTGTAAGCTATTTAGATCATTCTGTAATTTTCATGAGTAAAAATTATCTTTCAAAACGATTACTTGAGTTTAGTTTCTCCTTTTGAGTTATGTGTTCAACTTAAAGCACACATGCTTATTTTTTAAAAAAAAATTTGTTGCTTATTTAGGATTTTAAAAAAAGGCTAAAATATTTATTTATTTATTTGTTTTTGAGACGGAGTTTCACTCTTGTTGCCCAGGCTGGAGTGCAGTGGTGAGATCTTGGCTCACTGCAATCTCCACCTCCTGGGTTCAAGTGGTTTTCCTGCCTCAGCCTCCCAAGCAGCTGGGATTACAGGCACCTGTCATCACACTTGGCTCAGTTTTTGTGTTTTTAGCAGAGATGGGATTTCACTATGTTGGCCAGGCTTGTCTTGAACTCCTGACCTCAGGTGATCCACCTGTGTCAGCCTCCCAAAGTGCTGGGATTACAGGTGTGAGCCACTGTGCCCAGCATAAAATACTTATTTTTAACTCGCAAGTAATGGTTTTGAATGGAGGTATTAATAATAAATGCAGATACCACATATATTTTTATTCTTAGTATGTCATCATGGGAGATTATTTTTTGTTTGTTTAGATATCCTAAAGTATGATAAATGATATGCTAAAGTAGGTTGTGTTTGTAAGTTTACTTTTTTGCATATTCCAGATTCATGAAAATTTTCATGGCAGATTGGCATGTTGCTACAACATAGCATTTCAGAGCAGTTGTTAGGCTTTGAGATAATGTAGTTGCACCGGCTAGCTTGGAATCAAACTGTGACTGTGCACATGATTTTCTGTTGCATTTTCTTATTTAGTTTAATTTAAAGTAAATTAAACTTGGTGGGGGGGGCATTTAAAATGTTACATCTTGTCCCTAGTGAAACAAATGCATGTAACAAGAGGTATTTCTTTTTTTTTTTTTTTTTTTTTTTATGTTTTTGAGACAGAGTCTCTGTCGCCCAGGCTGGAGTGCCGTGGCATGATCTTGGCTCACTGCAGCCTTCACCTTCTGGGTTGAAGCGATTCTCTTTCCTCAGCCTCCCAAGTAGCTGGGATTATAGGCGTGCATCACCATGACTGGCTAATTTTTGTATTTTTGGTAGAGACGGAGTTTTGCCATGTTGGCCAGGCTGGTCTTCAACTCCTGACCTCAGGTGACCTACCTGCTTCATCCTCCCAAAGTGCTGCAATTACAGGTGTGAGCCACAGTGCCAGGCCAAACAGGAGTTATTTCTAAATCAATCTAGGATACAGGTGATTATTCCCTATGGACAAGTTAGAAATGTCATGGGCTGTTAGAGCTTACCTGTTACCTTCCACTCCCTTTGTAGATGGCAAACACATCTATTACTTTTACTAGAGGAAGGACAGTGAGAAATGACTCCTTAACTGGCCGAAAAAAACTAGTACCACCATTTTTGTTGGCAATATAGTAAAAGGAGGGAAACCAATATCTCAGTCAAGACGTTAGTCTCTTTCGCAACAGCTGCATTACTAGACTAGACTCAGTTCTTGTTTGGGGCCTTCGTCTTTCCTCACTTTCAAAATATCCTAGATATTCTAGTCATAGAGACTATGTAGGGATTGTGCACAGTTTAGAGATGTCATGGTTTCTTTCTATCAGAAATAACTGCTTATTTTAAGTATGTGAACTTCTTTAAGGTTCTAAGTAAATTCAGGAGGTAAGTGCATCAGTAAAGAAATTTCTGCAAGTTTGAAAAAAGATCAGGCAAGTATTTTTCAGTGATCTACATTTCTATCAAGACATGTTGTATTTAATGGGGAATGTTTTATTTATAGTATATAAAATGTATAAACATGTATTATTCACTGCTGCTTGTTTGGCTTAGTGTAAAAATTTATCTTGATGTGTGTTTTAAAAAGCATGGTAGGATTTGTAAACTCTGGACAATTAGCCTCTGTCTGTCTTACTTTAGTAGGCATTGTTGTATGAATCAGGGCATTTAATTTCTAGTTCACTGTCTATC